AAAAAAAAAAAAAAAAAAAAAAAAAGTGCTGCTTAAAAATAAAAGTTTCAAAAACACTGGTCTTGACTTTATTATCATTTTTTCCTTTTTCCAATCAAATGTGAGCCATTCTTTAATGCCCAGGTCACATTTTGCCTTAAACAAGTCCTTCTCTGACCATTCTAGAAAATCATTCTTGTCGAATGTACTTCGTGTTCAACTCTCTTAGTTTTACTTAATGACACCATGTCTTGTATTTTTATTCAGTCACCCACATGTCTTACTCTGTCAACTGGCTTATAAGCACTTGGCACATCTAGAGCATATTTTGTTTTACTTTGTACACTTCTTGCCACAGAGTACTAAGGACAGCTCCTCTTTTCTAGAAATTAGGCAACTAGGAAAGAGGGGGCAACTCTCTGTTGCCCCCTGCCATCCATGGTTGTGACAGAAACTTCACTGTGCCTTCTGATAACTTCTCTCTGTGGCCACAGAGGAGGGCCCACCACAGTTAAAAATGGCAGGGTAAGAGACTGTGGTGTGGCCATCCCACCCAGAAGGCATGCCTCTCTGGGCTATTAGGGTGGAGGCAGGGGTTGGAGAGTCATGTGCTCCATCTATAGGACAGCACAGATGTGTGTGTATGTGGGGAGAGGCAAGGATCTCAGAAAGCCACACTCAGATATGCTGCATAAATATTATGTAGACCAATGCCAACTATAGTTAATGGCTCTTTCATATGTTATCACCCATTCTGTCACACCTATACCACTTCCTGTCATTTCTGAATCAAGAAATTACCTTGATAAAAAAAAGATAATGTGTCCCTTGCTCCTCCTCTCTTTCCTATAGTCAGTAAATAATACCCTCTTGTTTCCTGGCCTCTTTTAGGTATGGAATTTCACAGAGGAAGTACAGGATGCTAAACCAGAAGATACAGGTTTGACTCCAGTTCATCACTACCTAATTGAGTGACCTGGGGCAAGGTAATTTAGCAACAGATACACTTCATATTAAAAGGGGGTGGGGCTAATGATATTTACTTTTAAGTTTCATTCATTTTTTAAAAAATAAATGAATATGCACTTGCCAAGCACAGTATCTAACTCGTGGTAGGTATTCAATAAATGCAATTTGAGTTTGAATTTCAAACTATAGATTCTTCCGCTTATTGTTCTTGATCCCTTACATGCACAATCACACTATTCTCATTTAAATCTACATCCTTTTTAAGAAGCATGATTTTGGATTGCTTTCAATTATTTCTTTTAAAACCCAAATCTACTAGACCAGTTTACTATAGACCCTGCTATACATTAGAATCTCCTGGAGAATAGTTAAAAACTAACACTGCCTGGGCTCCACATCCAGATCAACTGAATCTGTAACTCTGAAGATAATCACAAGATTTGCATCCAACAATAAATGAAAAAGCAAGGGGAAAAAGAATGGCTAACATTCATTAAAACCAAACCCAAATAAAACACCTTATGAATTATTGCACATAGTATGTAAGAGCGCAAGAAGGCTCTAAAACCACTTACCTTTGTTATTGTACACATCTAAGTAATTTGGTGCTGAAAAAATTGTAATTAGAGAAGGGAAGCCTGTCGTTTGGCTTTTCCTGTACATGCGATACCTAAAAACAACAAATATGATTTTAAACAAGGCTATTATGAAAAAAATGATATCAAATTATAGCCTTAGAAAAAGAAAACTAAAGTTATGTTTTATCACTCCAAGAGAACTCAATTACATAACATTAAACAAAATTTTCTCTCTAAAGTCTGTTTTACGCAGACATTAATTCATCTCAAGGTTGACAATGAAACATGTACAGTTTCTGAGTAGGCCGTTCCTGAGTTTAACGGACTTAGGGGAAGAGTGGAATTCAATGAAAAATCATAATTCATTTCCATGCGTTCAACAGAGATGACAAAGGTTACCTTTCACATGAAGATATCCTGCACCTACAATGTTTTTGAGAAGTTTGCCATATTTTTGACCTAACACTACATAAGCAGAGCAATATATAAATCTTTACCACTAAAAACCAGGCTGATTATTCTAGTTATCCATATAATATTCTGTGCAATACCTATGCAATATTCTGTTATGGTCTTGACTAAGTGATTTGCTTTTCAAAGAATGGTTAAATCTATGGGTTTTACATATTGAAAGTTGTTTCTATTTTAGAACTCTCTTTATTACCAATCTCTTCTGAGATCTGCAGGTCAAAGATTATTGTCTCAGCAGGGTAATATTTAATCAATCAGTAATGAAACAGAACATCTGCAAGATCTTTGGAAATAAACCAACAATCCAGTTACTTTTCTTCTACTTAGACAAAAATAGGATTTTAGTCCTCAAATAATCAAAAACATTACAGGAAATTCTGGCTCTTTTCCATTGAGGTGAAAGCACATGTCACAACTTCTACGTAACAGATTTTAGTAATATCAGTTTAGAAAAATTCTTATAAAGCACAAAACAAAATGTTATCACTCCTTGGGTATTCTGAGCCAGTTATTTATGGCAGAATAACCATGCCTACTCTAATTGGGTTCTAAAGGTGCCTCAAATAGTACCTTTAGATAGATAAATAACCACCATAAAAATTATAATTTTAAAAATATTTTGATACAACTTTTCCTAGAAGAAAATATCTTCTTAAAAGTCTTTTGAAATGTTCTAGAAGTATTTATTCTGCATATCCAACTGAACTTTGCTGGAGGAAAAAAAGTCAAAATGTGAAAGATAACAACACCCTCAATCTTAGTACTTTGACGTTATAAATCATGACTGGCTAGGCCTACTTGATAACAAATAAAAACAAAGAAACTAAATGACATAATCGCAATTTACCCCCAATAAATCAATCAAATGCCCATTCTGAACAAATATACTAATTGATTTTAACTGATGCATTATTTTAAAATATTTTCAAATAAGCAGATGATTTCTGGTCTGTAGTGGGATTAATATAAAGCTGCCTAAAATGCTCAGTTGGGATAGCCAGCCAAAAGAGCATGGTGACACCACTGCCTTGAAAAGTTAAAAAAAAAAAAAAAAAAAAGAACTTATTTGAGGACCCCATTGGTTAGGCATATCATTAGGTTATGTCGAAGGTCAGCTATGACATGATAGTACTGGATCCAATACTAAGCTGTTGGGTCAGTTCATCCCTGTTGATTATTGCCTGAAAAAAGCTAACTTTGAAAGGAGCCTGGGATCTGCCTTGATGGGGGATCATCGGACATGGGCTTACTTCAGGATGTGGGCATCTCTACTCCTGATTTCGGCACACAGAGTATAATACTAAGCAGTCCTCTCTTCCAAAGAATTCAGAATACGAAGGAATGAGTTTAAGCATTTGAAGGCAAACAACACCTTTCAGTGGAACCTACTGAGAAGGGTACTGGACATCAAATGCTTTTCATTATGCCTTTTGCTCCCGAGTGCAGATTCAATGCACTATCAAACTGAGTATCTGATGTTTCTTACTTTTCTAAGCCCTTATCATTGGTCTACCAATTATACTAATAATTATATGAAACCTGGACCCTAAATTTTAAAATTCACTATTATAAAATCATGTTATACATTTATTAGTTAGAATATAGGACTTTCTCCCTCATTTAAATGCCTCTGCTTTTGTCCTTTAAAACTTCACAAGGGTCAGGAATGATATTCTTTAAACAAGAGTACACTGTGCAATATCTGTTAAATATTTACGTGTAATTCTCATTCACACTGCCAACCAAGGCTGAAAAGTTGCTGGTAATTTACTCACTGACTGGACCGTGGGAAGAGCAGGAATGGAAGGAAATCAGAGGGACCCTTACAAGGGCTTAAGAAAGCCAGCTGAAAATTTTACCTGTTCAGGCTAAAAACGGAGGCGCTTTAAAGAAGACCTTACAACACATTTACAACTCATTCCCCAGGATCCTGCCCTATCTCTGTCATCAGAAGACAATGTTAAGATCTAAGTGCTTCAGGGAGAGAGCCTACCAAAAGGGACCCTCCAAACCTGAACAAAGTGAGGAAGCTGGGACCCAGGAACAACACATAGTTTCCGTAAACCCACAAAACTGCTCACCCTGCATCTTGGGCTTCATGGGCTCGGAGTATAGACAACAGGTTATTGTGCTGTAAGAATTCACATACAGCCGGGTAGCTGCCAGAGACAAAAAGAAAAGAGAAAGAAGCATCTGTTACGAAATCATCAAGTGTAGCACATGTATCTGTAACATCCCGATCTATGTGATTTGATCAAGCGTAATCAGACATACATCATTCATGAAACAAGCCTCTTGGCTCTCAGGACAGGCCCCCCCCACCCCCCGCCCCGTGGCAGAAAAACACCTGCAGCTGTACTTTTTTACATAATCAGAAAGGACTGGAGATGTGTGAACAGGACAAAGAATGCAGGCCATTATATAACAACACTAGAAAAATGCCCACTCATAGAGAAAACCAGTATCAAGTCTACGTTTAAACACAGGTGAACAGGAGCATCAAGATAACATGAGAATAGAATTTAAAACATACACCTCCATGTTCTCAAATACAGCACCATTTGTATTTGGATGCACGTGAGTGCCTGAGTACTCTACAGAGAGACGGAGTGAGGGAGTAGGAGAGACTAAGTCTTCTGGAAACCGAGCTATCAACTTACTTATGAGTACATTAATTGATATATCCTTCAAAATCTAAACACGATTAAGGAATTCACAGGTTTTAAACTGTGTACTTTAAATACGATCAACAGAACCGTATCTTAAGACTTATTCTTTATATTGACTTAATAAAAGCATTAAATATATAATCAAGATGATTTTGTCTGTTAAGGAAATCTCTAAACCAAAGATGAGAACATTATTAAAAATGCAATGCGAATTACAAACTAAACCTGTAAAACTCTTTGCAATCACTTTGTCTCCAAGAATTTTTAATGAGATAAATGAATGTCATAAAAATGAATAAATTTTAGAAATTTCAAATACAGAGACAGCAAACCAATGCTCATTTTAATATAAACAAACTGTGGATGCCCACTAGAACTTAAACTACACGTACTGTAAGAAACAATTCAGCAATTACAAAGGTAGCACTTTGAAGAGATACTAAATAGTACATGTCACTCAAATAATTTACTATAAAGAGAAGATACAAATAGTTTCTATATTAAATATTTTGTAAGAATTCCCTGCTCAAAAAGAAAAGAAATACCATTAATCTGGCATACCACTGAAGAGATGCTGATTATTAAAAGGATTCAGTTCTTTGCAAAACTGGGATCTGAAATCAAAAATAGTCATGAGGCGCCTGGGTGGCTTAGTCAGTTAAGCGTCCGACATCGGCTTAGGTCATGATCTCTTGGTCCGTGAGTTTGAGCCCTGCGTTGGGCTCTGTGCTGACAGCTCAGAGCCTGGAGCTGCTTCAGATTCTGTGTCTCCCTCCCTCTCTGCCCCTCCCCTGTTCATGCTCTGTGTCTCTTTCTCTCAAAAATAAAAAAAAATAATAATAAACAAAACATTAAAAAAATAAAAAAAATAGTCTGTGCATGTGCACACATTTATGTGCATTTGTGAGCATATGTATGTGTGTTCTAGAATATTTTAGCATTTGCTAAGGAGAGAAAAAGACAACTTCCTAGCTGTCCCAGGTCAGCTCAGTAAATGAATGTAAATGTAGCCATGGGTTACATGGTAACCTACAAACTGGAGAAGATGGCCCAGAGTGTCCACAGGGAAATGTGTCTGTATCATATCTAGGTCGAGTTGACCTGTGTCTCCAAAGACTTTTGTTCTATCTTAGGAGAAGGTAAGTATACGACCTTTCCAGATCAGTGTGTGTCAACAAAAGAAACCCTAACTGCTGAGACATTGCTGGGTCTTTAAAGAATAGCACATATGTTTGTACATATTTAGCCATAAAGTGCCCAGCCAAGGGAAGACAGAGTAGGGTGGCACTCAATAAATGTCCCTTCCCTATCTCTTTCAGCCGTTTTTTTTTTTTTCTTGTGCCCTTGAAATATTTCTTTAGATATATAGTTTATTGCCTTGTTGTACCACTGTAAGACAGAGGGTGTTTGTCTACGTCTGTCATGTTTTGTCCTTGGACAAATGGCTTGGCAGCACTTTTTAAATTTATTTTTTCCTTTTGTTAGAACCCACACTAGTCCTATGAAAGCACCATTTTAATATATTTTCTTCATGCTAAGTTTTATACCTTTATGTGTTTAAGTTTTCCCCCATGGAAATAGATATCTGATTTTTAACGGTAATCTGAAGAAAACAAAATTAACCTTGCAGCAATCTGCTAGGTTAATAGCATTAACTGAGGAACACTTGTATTATTACTTGGAAGGAACTCATTTTGAAGAAAATCTCTGGAAGTTTAAAGGCATATATAATCAAATATTCAAACTCTCGAAGAATTACAAACATTTTTCTAAATAAACTTAGAAAATATTTGGCTATCGAGATTCCCATTATTGGTCAACTGTCTGCCTGGGATACATGAAAGTCTTCAGTGATATTAGGTGGCGAAAAAACCACAAAACTTCACAATATTTTTGTGCTTTTTAATGGAAAGGATGATTAAAAAAAGCATTCCAGCTAAAAAGAACTAAAGAAGATACATGTTAAGAATGGTAATGTCAAAGATTCACTGGTGACATGTTCCATTTGTTGGATGCAACAATCCCTAATCCCTGTGTTAGGCACCAGGAGAGGTGCTACGGTAAGTGTAAGGTGTGGTTTCTGTCTTGAGGGTATTTATTATCTAGGCAGGAAAGTAAAGCATGCATTGATATTATGAAACAAGAAAGCAAGCACAGGGGGCTGGGGAGATTTTTTTCAAAAATATCTATCTCATGTTAGATCTTTTGGGGTTTTGTTTGCATTAATGAGGTGATGCTTCTGTGTTTTGTGCCCAACAAGAAGAGCCCCTTCTGCCCCAGGCTGGTCAGCCCAAGCAAGGGCCCATGCCTTGTTTTTAGCAGGGGGCTGGCTGCATCTCAGTCCCACTCACAGCCCTCCAGGGGGCACCCTTGTCAGGCAACGCTTGTATGGTTTCATCAAACCCAGTGTCCTGGACATGTCTTGAAATAAGACTTAATGCAACGATCTGGGAAGGGTAGTGATTCTTTCAGCTTTGTGATATCCATTTACCGGCATGCACTGCTGTGTTTGGGGAAGAAGTTGCACTCTCTGAAATTTTTTTTTCCCCCCACTTGGAACATGATTATTCCTTAAGCGCTAGAGAATACATTTCTCCGAGTAGAAAAGGAGGTGGAAATTTCCATGGAATAGTGGGAATCCTTAGGTCTGGGTTTTTATTCCAATTTCTTGTGTAGACTCTGGAAAATTGCTGAACCTCTTTGAGCCTGAATTACCTCATTTGTAAAAATGCAGACGGTAGCATTTATACCACAAACTTAAGATAAAGACTAAATGAGTTAGCAATATATGTAAATTCCCTAGTCCAGGGCCTGGACTGAGAGTGGTAGACACGTAACAACTCTTAACTTTCTCTCCACCACCATGGTGTGGAAGACAGAATGCAGCATGGAATGGTGAGTCAGCAACCCTCGATTCTAATGGTAGCTGTTGTGAAAAAGCAAGCTACAGGCCTAAAACGGCATTGCTTAGGCCAAGTCACCAAATTGGGGCTTAGTACCTAACCTAAGGGAAGTTTCAACCTCCCCCAAAAGTGTAAATCTTAACTGGTCAGTCAGGAATTTTCTGAGGGGCACCAGTGAGGTAATCTGGGTCCTCTGCCTCAACCAAAAGACGATGAGGTAATGGTCATAAGATCCCCTGCCCCTCCCGGAAGGGAAAGTGACTGGCCTGAAACAAGACTTTCTTTTCTTTTGCTATTAACTCCTTGCCCCGCCCTCCTTCCTATAAAAACCTTCCATTTTTTGTACAGCCCCTCAGAACCCCTCTACTTGCTAGGAGGGGTGCTGCCTGGTTCATGAATCATTTCAGAAAGCCAATTAGATCTTGAAATTTAATCCATTGAATTTTTTCTTTTACAGTGTTAAATTTATTAGTTGTGACTTGTGTCAATTCTTAAAAGCAATGACGTCTGGGGAATACTGGATAGGAAAGGGGTTAGAAAGGGAGAGGGGCAGACACAGACTGAGCAGGAGCAAAGGTAAAGAAGGTAGAAAAGACAAACGTGAGAAATGGTAGAAAAGCTGTTTTGCCATTAGAGAGAATAGCCATTATTAGACTCAGTCTGTTTATTCTCTTATTTTTGTTCCTTCCTATATTAAGCTATATTTTAGATCTTGAGTTAAACCTTCTGCATTTATCTCTTTAAGATATAGACAGAGGACATTATTATTATTTATTAAATATTTATTTATTTTGAGAGAGAAAGAGAGTGAGAACACGAGTGGGGGAGGTGCAGAGAGAGAGAGAATCCCAAGCAGGCTCTGCACTCTCTGCAGAGCCCGATGCGGGGCTCGAACCCACGAACCCGTGAGATCATGACCCGAGCCCAAATCAAAAGTCGACACTTAATCGACTGAGCCACCCAGGCGCCCCTACCAGCGGACATTATCAAAAGGCTTTTTTATGCTTTTATGTCTTCATTTATACTTTCCTTAAGTATTTTTAACTTCTGGAAAAGCCCACTCTTCTGCCAAGCCCTCACTGAATTATCACGGGTGAACCGTCCCCTCAAACCCAGCTCATCCTGAGGTGTGCACAGAACTGCTGCATCTCCCATGGTCCCGGAGCGTATTTGTCTAAGACAGCATTCGTCATGTTGTGGTGTCAATTACGTTTAATTCAGTAATAGTAAACGCCTTAAAAGACAGATATTATTTTTAAATTTGTCTTTATATCCTAAATTTAAGCAGCAACCTGTCAGCTTCTCGGAGCTCACATTCACTTGCAGGTGAGAGAGGTAAAGGGTGTCTTTCCCTCATCAGGTTCAGCAAAGCAGAGGCACTCAGCCTGCAACCCTTTGCTAAGGGACTGGGAGAAAGCCTCTCCCTGCCTCCTTGGCATCCTTCCCCTCTCTCAGGCCAGTAGTAAGGGAGAACTCTGCCCAACCGCCAAGTTCCTCCTCTGCTTCTGGGGGGCCTTAGCCCCGGGGTGTCCTGCTGTCCGCATCAGCCGAGATGCTGTCAGGCTTATCTTTCCCTAGGACTTGCCA